GGTCCCCGCGAACCGGTTGGTCGGCGAACCCGGAAGGAAGTAACTTCCGGGAACGGCAAAGGGCCCATCCGCCTGCCCGCAGTCCTTACCGGTCTTTGAAGGCTTCTGCGCTTCCACGCAGGCGCATGGCACATACAGCGCCTGCGCGAGTCTCCGCGAGCAGCTGGATGGCACATACAAGTCTCCGCGAGCAGCTGGAGCATCGCGCAGGCGCTAAGACGCATGCGTGAACTGCGCGCGTGCACGAGGACGCCGCCGGCCCCGTTCCAACCGAACCGGTTGGAACGGGGCGAGAAACCCACCCCTGCAGGGATGGTATTCGCTAACCTTCCCTACCAGTTTGCAAATGTGAGCCCGCGCTTCACTCGCACGCACACAGTCAGCGTATGCGCTCAGCCTTCCGTACATGCACTTTAGCTTAAAAAAAAGGGCCTAAATGGGGGAGCATAGATCCGGGGCGGGGCCACCTGCAATTTCTGCTACCGGTTCGGGCAAACTGGTCCGAACTGGCAGAATACCACCTCTGCAAGAAGGACAATGCAAGCCCAGATTTCAAAATATAATTTCTACTTTTTAATACTGGGGAGGAATCATGCAAAATTACTGCCTTTCTGCAATATTAAATAGGAATAAATATGACACATGAATCTCTTTCCCTTGCCTCCCCAGATCCTGATTTATTTATTTATTTGAGAACTAAGAAAAAGAACCCCAAATACTATTATTCACTTCAGTACTTCTACATGAACCAAATGCTAAGAACCAGGACCAGACTTTTCTGAAGCAGCTCTCAGAAGCTCCATATGGTGTCTAGACCTCCCCTTAATAACTGGAAAGTCCAAGAGGGAAATTGTATTGTGGAGAGCTTTTCCATAATCTACAGGCAAAGTGACATATGTTACGGAAATGTCCCCATAACTTGGCCTACTTTTACCACATTTCGCTATCATCCGCCGTCTTTCCATAATCAGCATTCTATCAAGCTCTGAGCTTTATACAGCTTTTCCTTGTCGGAGAGCACTTTGCCTTCACCCCAATCTGCCTAGACCGCAGCTGTCACCTCTTCCTGTTCCTGAGCCAAGTGACGCTGTAAACTCAAGCCAGAAGGCAAGGACTACAGGCTTCCAGTCTTAACAAGCCAGCTGCCCAGGCTACCCCCAAGGTCTCTGCCAATATTTTAGGCTGAATACGGGCAATAATCATACCCTGGACAAAATCTGAACATGAAATCTACAAAGCAAAATTAAATTCAGGGAGTGACAGGAGTCCGTACATTAGTTCCAAATTATTGTTCTTGAAATGAGTGAGTCATCTCTCGAAAACAAAATACGGCATCGTATATTTATAGCTTATTTATCTGATTCGTTAGCCGGTAGTGCTCTAATACGCTCAATTTTTTTTTATTTAAAAAAAAGCAGTCCTGCTTAAAAATTTGTAATCCAAATATCATGATCAGGGGATGGGGAGGGAAGTATAAAAAGCAATTCTTAAATAAAGAACAACTTGCAGGATCCAATCTGGGTCAGACGCTGGGACCAGAGGTTTAAGCTTCCACATCTGTATGGGAGCGCATTGTCAGGGAAGTCTGAAAACTCGGATGACTAAACCTCTGGTCCAGTGGTGGGTTTCTAAAATTTTTAGAACCTCTTCTGTAGGTGTGGCCTGCTTTGTGGGAGTGGCTTGCCGGCCATGTGATTGGGTGGGAGGGGCTTATTGGCCATGTGATTGGGTAGGAGTGGCTTGCCAGCCATGTGACTGGGTGGGTGTGGCCAACTTGTAAAATGTAGTGATACTCACTTAACAACGCTCTTGCTTAGCAACCAAAATGTTGGCTCAGAAACTCTGGCATTTGAAGCACGCAAGTCTTAAAGCTGTCAAGNTCCTGCCTCCCTCCTTCCTCCTGCCTCCCTCTCTCTCTCCCTTCCTCCCTCCCTCCCTATGGTTAGAATGCAGCATTGCAAGATAATTCTGCCTACTGCCAGCAATTCGATCCTGACCAGTTCAAGGTTGACTCAGCCTTCCATCCTTCCGAGGTCGGTCAAATGAGGACCCAGATTGTTGGAGGGCAAGAGGCTGACTCCGTAAACCGCTTAGACAGGGCTGTAAAAGCACCATGAAACGGTATATAAGTCTCAAGTGCTACCGCTATCAGTCAAAGCCTTGTTTTGACTCAGGTTACCCCGCTTACGATGTCATCCGGTTCCAGAACAAGGCACGCGGTTGGTGAGCTGGATAATTCCCACGCCGCTGTTTCCCTTTCGTCCTTAGGATAACTCCCGGACCCTGGCGGTACATTCGGTGAAAGCCCTGCTGAATATGGACGACGATATTTTAATTGCGCAAATGGGTTCCTGGCTCACTGTGGCCCACATGTCGGTGCTGACCAATCAGGACACTGCCCGGGTGTTTGTGTGCGGAGTGAAGTCTGCGGCCCGAGAAGCGGAATTGAAGGATCTCTTCGCACGTATGGAGTGTAAAAGTTAGTACCAGATAAGTGGCGTTACTTTGGTCTAAGAGGCCTGACAGGGGGTCCTCAGCTTACGACCACATTTCCAGCACTAAGCAAGACAGACATTATGCGAGTGTCACCTCCCACCTTCCTTGCCACAATTGTTAAGTGAATCACCGCAGCTGCTGACAGAGGATGTTAAGCGAATCCGGCATCCACATTGACTTCGCTTGTCGGATGGTCCCAAAAGGGGAAATCGCATAACGCCGGGGACACGGTGACTGTCATAAATATGAACCTCAGTTGCCAAGCACCGGATGCTTCCAGAGGGTTGCGGTGGTCTAGAGGTTGGAGCTCTCACCTCACCATCAGGAGGTTGTGAATTTGAGCCTAGGAAGGGACAGATATTTCTCTCTCTCGGCGTGATGAGAATTTATCTGCTGAATAGAACTCCGCATTGGCAACAGGAAAGGCATCGGGCCATTAAAACACTCAGCTAGCTCTGTTCGGTTGCCCATAAGCTATCCCGCAAGGGATTATGGGATCATTAAATGGTTATGGCTGTAGGGATGCCGCCACAGTTGTGTGGAAGAAAATGGGTCACTGGTCCCTTTTTTTGTTGCCGTTGTGACTTTCAACGGTCACTCAACAAACGGTCCAGGACGACCGATACTTCCAGGAAGTGTTCGTTAACCCATGTGAAAGTTTTTAAGCGATGGTTCGCTTTTGGGCTTCTCTCATTCCGGGGCCGCAACAGAGACGCGGTGTCGAAGGTGCTTCATCTTGGCTGCAGCCCCCGTTCGGTCCTGTTCTAACTTGCATTGTCTTCCTTTTGTTTTTCTTCTTCCTCCTCCTCCTCCTCCTCCTCGTCCTCCTTCCCCAGATATCGAGCTGCTTCATGAAGATTTTGCCGACATCGAACCCACGTTTCCCAAGCTGCAGAAAGTGAAAGTGATTTTGCTCCTGCCTCGCTGTTCCGGCCTGGGGGTCAGCAATCCGATCGAATTTATTTTAAAAGAGCACGAAGGTAACTCTTCGAAGGTTTCCGACGCCTAGTTCTCGGGAAGGGTGCTTCCCTTTCTGGGGCATCTCTGGTCATTATCTAAATCCCCTTTGGCTTCCTTCTCCTCCTCCTCCTCCCTCATCTAGCTTCTCCTTCCTCATCATCTCGTCTTCCCTCGTCCTCATCTATTTTCTCCTTTTCCTCCTCTTCCTTCTCTTTCTCCTTCTCCTTCCTTGTCCTCATCTCTTCCTCCTCTTACTTCTCCTTCTTCATCCTTCTCCTTCTCCTCCCTCATCCTCATCTATCTTCACCTCCTTCTTCATCCTTCTCTTATCTTCTCCTCCTCCCTCATCCTCATCTATCCTCACTTCCTTCTTCCTCCTTCTCTATCTTCTCCTTCTTCTCCCTCAGTCTTCTTCTTCTCCCTCATCCTTTTCTATCTTCTCCTTCTCCTCTCTCATCCTCATCTATCTCCTCTTTCTTCATCCTTCTTTTATCTTCTCCTCCTCCCTCATCCTCATCTATCCTCACTTCCTTCTTCCTCCTCTATCTTCTCCTTCTTCTCCCTCAGTCTTCTTCTCCCTCATCCTTTTCTATCTTCTCCTTCTCCTCTCTCATCCTCATCTATCTCCTCTTTCTTCATCCTTCTTTTATCTTCTCCTCCTCCCTCATCTTCATCTATCCTCACTTCCTTTTTCCTCCTCTATCTTCTCCTTCTTCTCCCTCAGTCTTCTTCTCCCTCATCCTTTTCTATCTTCTCCTTCTCCTCCCTCATCCTCATCTATCTCCTCCTTCTTCATCCTTCTTTTATCTTCTCCTCCTCCCTTATCCTCATCTATCCTCACTTCCTTCTTCCTCCTTCTCTATCTTCTCCTTCTTCTCCCTCAGCCTTCTTCTTCTCCCTCATCCTTTTCTATCTTCTTCTCCTCTCTCATCCTCATCTATCTCCTCCTTCTTCATCCTTCTTTTATCTTCTCCTCCTCCCTCATCCTCAT